GCAGAATGTAAGTGTGGGGGAGGTACGTGAGGCATTACGTAAAATGAAAAGGGGTAAAGCAGCTGGAACTGATGGGATCATGACAGAAATGTTAAAAGCAGGGGGGGATATAGTGTTGGAGTGGTTGGTACTTTTGTTCAATAAATGTATGAAAGAGGGGAAGGTACCTAGGGATTGGCGGAGAGCATGTATAGTCCCTTTATATAAAGGGAAAGGGGACAAAAGAGACTGTAAAAATTATAGAGGAATAAGCTTACTGAGTATACCAGGAAAAGTGTACGGTAGGGTTATAATTGAAAGAATTAGAGGTAAGACAGAATGTAGGATTGCAGATGAGCAAGGAGGTTTCAGAGTGGGTAGGGATGTGTAGATCAAGTGTTTACATTGAAGCATATATGTGAACAGTATTTAGATAAAGGTAGGGAAGTTTTTACTGCATTTATGGATTTAGAAAAGGCATATGATAGAGTGGATAGAGGAGCAATGTGGCAGATGTTGCAAGTATATGGAATAGGTGGTAAGTTATTAAATGCTGTAAAGAGTTTTTATGAGGATAGTGAGGCTCAGGTTAGGGTGTGTAGAAGAGAGGGAGACTATTTCCCGGTAAAAGTAGGTCTTAGACAGGGATGTGTAATGTCACCATGGTTGTTTAATATATTTATAGATGGGGTTGTAAAGGAAGTAAATGCTAGGGTGTTCGGGAGAGGGTGGGATTAAATTTTGGGGAATCAAATTCAAAATGGGAATTGACACAGTTACTTTTTGCTGATGATACTGTGCTTATGGGAGATTCTAAAGAAAAATTGCAAAGGTTAGTGGATGAGTTTGGGAATGTGTGTAAAGGTAGAAAGCTGAAAGTGAACATAGAAAGAGTAAGGTGATGAGGGTGTCAAATGATTTAGATAAAGAAAAATTGGATATCAAATTGGGGAGGAGGAGTATGGAAGAAGTGAATGTTTTCAGATACTTGGGAGTTGACGTGTCGGCGGATGGATTTATGAAGGATGAGGTTAATCATAGAATTGATGAGGGAAAAAAGGTGAGTGGTGCATTGAGGTATATGTGGAGTCAAAAAACGTTATCTATGGAGGCAAAGAAGGGAATGTATGAAAGTATAGTAGTACCAACACTTTTATATGGGTGTGAAGCTTGGGTGGTAAATGCAGCAGAGAGGAGACGGTTGGAGGCAGTGGAGATGTCCTGTTTAAGGGCAATGTGTGGTGTAAATATTATGCAGAAAATTCGGAGTGTGGAAATTAGGAGAAGGTGTGGAGTTAATAAAAGTATTAGTCAGAGGGCAGAAGAGGGGTTGTTGAGGTGGTTTGGTCATTTAGAGAGAATGGATCAAAGTAGAATGACATGGAAAGCATATAAATCTATAGGGGAAGGAAGGCAGGGTAGGGGTCGTCCTCGAAAGGGTTGGAGAGAGGGGGTAAAGGAGGTTTTGTGGGCGAGGGGCTTGGACTTCCAGCAAGCGTGCGTGAGCGTGTTAGATAGAAGTGAATGGAGACGAATGGTACTTGGGACCTGACGATCTGTTGGAGTGTGAGCAGGGTAATATTTAGTGAAGGGATTCAGGGAAACCGGTTATTTTCATATAGTCGGACTTGAGTCCTGGAAATGGGAAGTACAATGCCTGCACTTTCAAGGAGGGGTTTGGGATATTGGCAGTTTGGAGGGATATGTTGTGTATCTTTATATGTGTATGCTTCTAGACTGTTGTATTCTGAGCACCTCTGCAAAAACAGTGATAATGTGCGAGTGTGGTGAAAGTGTTGAATGATGATGAAAGTATTTTCTTTTTGGGGATTTTCTTTCTTTTTTGGGTCACCCTGCCTCGGTGTAAGACGGCCGACTTGTTGAAAAAAAAAATATATATATTTTTTTTTTTTTATTATCACACTGGCCAATTTCCACCAGGGCAGGGTGGCCCAAAAAAGAAAAACTTTCACCATCATTCACTCCATCACTGTCTTGTCAGAAGGGTGCTTTACACTAGTTTTTAAACTGCAACATTAACACCCCTCCTTCAGAGTGCAGGCACTGTACTTCCCATCTCCAGGACTCAAGTCCGGCCAGCCGGTTTCCCTGAATCCCTTCATAAATGTTACTTTGCTCACACTCCAACAGCACGTCAAGTATTAAAAACCATTTGTCTCCATTCACTCCTATCCAACACGCTCACGCATGCCTGCTGGAAGTCCAAGCCCCTCGCACACAAAACCTCCTTTACCCCCTCCCTCCAACCTTTCCTAGGCTGACCCCTACCCCACCTTCCTTCCACTACAGACTGATACACTCTTGAAGTCATTCTGTTTCGCTCCATTCTCTCTACATGTCTGAACCACCTCAACAACCCTTCCTCAGCCCTCTGGACAACAGTTTTGGTAATCCCGCACCTCCTCCTAACTTCCAAACTACGAATTCTCTGCATTATATTCACACCACACATTGCCCTCAGACATGACATCTCCACTGCCTCCAGCCTTCTCCCCGCTGCAACATTCATCACCCATGCTTCACACCCACATAAGAGCGTTGGTAAAACTATACTCTCATACATTCACCTCTTTGCCTCCAAGGACAAAGTTCTTTGTCTCCAGAGACTCCTAAGTGCACCACTCACCCTTTTCCCCTCATCAATTCTATGATTCAACTCATCTTTCATAGATCCATCCGCTGACACGTCCACTCCCAAATATCTGAATACATTCACCTCCTCCATACTCTCTCCCTCATCATCTGATATCCAATCTTTCATCACCTAATCTTTTTATCCTCATAACCTTACTCTTTCCTGTATTCACTTTTAATTTTCTAATTTTGCATACCCTACCAAATTCATCCACCAATCTCTGCAACTTCTCTTCAGAATCTCCCAAGAGCACAGTGTCATCAGCAAAGAGCAACTGTGACAACTCCCACTTTGTGTGATTATCTTTTAACTCCACGCCTCTTGCCAAGACCGTCGCATTTACTTCTCTTACAACCCCATGTATATTATTATTATAATCAAAAAGAAGCGCTAAGCCACAAGGGCTATACAGCGCTGCAACCCCATCTATAAATATATTAAACAACCACGGTGACATCACACATCCTTGTCTAAGGCCTACTTTTACTGGGAAATAATTTCCCTCTTTCCTACATACTCTAACTTGAGCCTCACTATGATTGGAAAGGGCATCTCATACATTTATTAAATCCACAAAAAAAAAAAAAAAGGCTAGATCTGTTGCTCAAGGGCATATTACCCAGTAAGAACTTGCCTGTGGATTATTTTCATGAATCACTAAACCTGTTGATGTCATTCAGTACCTGGGAAATGGGAGGCATTCAGATTAAATCCAAATAAAGTACAGTTCTAATTCCTTGGATGAAGAACCCCTCACCAGCACTCAAGTATTGGGACTCTTCCCCTTAATTTTACTTAAGGAAAAGTTTTAAGATGTTGTACAGCATAAACCTTCACTAAAGCCATTCACCTCTATAAAGGATATTCTGTATAGCCCTTGTGGCTTAGCGCTTCTTTTTGATTATAATAATAATATAAAGGATATTACTATTAAATTCACACAAAGCTAATTATATATTTTCTCAGAAAAGCACTAAATCAGGAGGAAATCAGATTTGTTCAAAGGGGATTAACTCTAATTCCTTGGATTAAGAGTTCACCAGCATCTCGACACCTCCTTTGAAGGGTATAATGTATTAGAAATAGAACCAGGCAAAAAGTCAAAGTCAGTCTCTCTCTCTCTCTCTCTCTCACACACACACATTTCATTTCCAATACTATGTAGTTCTTGTCCAGGTAAGTAATTTTTAATGCATCTTTATATACCTTTCAAAATCCATTACAAAGCTTCAATGAAAATTCATTTTTATTAGATCAACTACAATAAAAACTCAATAGACTATTAGGGAGGAGTAGATTGTTTTGCTGTGATCATAACAATAACAGACATTTCTGTAACCAGCAGAACTCATGAAATCATAATGACACGATTGCAAACAAACCATACCACGGGCGGGGTTGGAACCAGTGATCAGATTGTCTCAAAACTCCAGACTGTCATGTTAGCCACTGGGCCAGCTAGCCACAATAAGATTCATCCAACTAGGTATACAGTGGACCCCCGATTAACGATATTTTTTCATTCCAGAAGTATGTTCAGGTGCCAGTACTGACCGAATTTGTTCCCATAAGGAATATTGTGAAGTAGATTAGTCCATTTCAGACCCCCAAACATACACGTACAAACGCACTTATATAAATACACTTACATAATTTTTCACATTAGGAGGTGATCGTTAAGCGGGGGTCCACTGTTTTATACACCATAGGAAGGTTAATATAGGCACCACTGTGACTACAAATGCAAGTTTTTACAGACTAATCTCCAGCTAGTGTGGCAGTGACTGGCCCAGTGGATAACACAATGGTCTGGAGCTTTGAGAAACTGATCGTGGGTTCTAAAATCGCCCGTGGTAAGGTTTTTTTTTTTTTAACCAACAGACTTTGTGGTTTTCTGAATAAATCGACTCAGCTCTTGGCCATATTTCCAAAGTTTCCTGTACCCTGAATTTTATTATAAATAAGAAACCCGAGGAATAAAAATATTAAACAATGATTATAATTATTATAATTATGGGGGGAGCGCTAAACCCATAGGATTATACAGTGCATGTGGAGGGGGGGATGGAAGGTATTCAGACTCAATTCAGGGAATTGGAGCACAAATTCCATTCCCTAAATCAAGAATCCCTCACCAGCATCAAGAAACCTCCTTTGAGGGGAATTAAAAAATGAAAATTTGTTCAAAATCAGTATTTGAAGTTTTTATTTAATTAAGCCTCACTAATGCCACACTTCTTATTTATTAAAATAATAAAAATAATTTCCATTTAGCCAAGCATTTAAATTTTTATTTATTAGCCTAACTTTAGCAGATTTTATGCAGGCCAGTTTTCGACTTAAAACTTTAGATGTAAATGACAGATTATTATCTTTGAAATTTTTATTAAGTACAGACTTATACCATGATCAGATTTTAAATTTGATACAGTACTCAGTTTCTCTGAACAATCTTATATTATTACTTCCCAATAATATAGTTTTAATGCTGGAATGGTCACTTACTGCCATAATGTCAAATAATATACAGTACTTGGCAATAACTATTAGCAATTATGTTCAGTTAATCTCTTATTACTTTAGGTTTGAATAACCCAATACACACATTAGAATCTCTAGTAATTTTATTATTTAATAGATATGTACATCAACATATGACTGCACACCAGGCCTAAAAGATGGTTATATACTAAAATATTTTAACATTTAAAGTTTCCAATGTTTTAGAGAAAAAAAAAAATGAAAACTAATATCTACAATTTAGACATAGTAAATATAAACTACATTAGTATGACAGTGGACAAAGAGAATGAATAAAATAACTACACATTTTACACTAAGGCAGAGCAAATTTTGGTAGGTTAGTGCAGTTGTTCATACTTGCCATGAACATAGGCAGATACATTACCTCTGGGCTAGAGTTTTAGAAAATAGTTAACATAACTGTTAGTCTGCTGTGACTGGTTACTATTCATCTTATTTCCTGATGACATTCAAGTTAAGGACAATATTAAATCATGTAGGGAACAAATTAAAAATATGCCGAGCCTAGAACTATGATGCGTTGACTCGACAAATCACAATTTATGTTCCATTTGTATGCTCAGTGGCCACTGAATCAAATACATATTAAAGTATTTAAATGGATAAATTACTTGATGACAAATTAAAAACTATGCAAATATTAGCTGGACTAGAAATCTGGATGATTAGTTACATATTATGGCAAATAGCCTGTGGACAAGATAAAAGCCCTGAAGAGTGCAAGTACTTTTTAAAGGAATATCTTAAATAGAAGTTGGCATGTTTAGTGACATGAGAATCCTAGAAAAGCAAGCATATTGAATCTGGACAAAAATCAATCGATACATTATAGATGTATATGTTAAAAACCAATGGTAAAATCTAACATTTAACCCTTCAGTGTTTGGTCATTGAAATATTAAAGGGACTTCACTGTGCTGCTAATATGTTGTTCAATGGCCCATTATAAGACTTATTCATGTGATGATGTATTTTGATAGTTGATGAATTTTTAAGTGACTTAATTATTTGTACTTATGAAGGATTGTGAGCAATTGGGAGAGATTCCCAGATCTAGAACTACACCAGTTCACATCTCGACTCCTTACTCCACTTGGAAAAGTGTTATGGCTATCTGATTTGTTACTCAAGGCTGGCAAAGAGCAGCTCTATTGGCTCATAGCAACCTTAATTCTTCTGTGCATTGATATAGCTCTGCAAAAGAAAGTGGGCCTAGAAACCTGCTCAGTTTGGGTTAAGGGAATGCTAAAGGGTTAAAATGTCATTAGACAAATCAACAAAATTTATATCTTAACTAAAGGCAGCACCTCTTATAGCATTAGGTTACCCTTGAATACCAATAACATCATTCATTTAAAACAGAAATGCTCTCTCGTGATTTTCTATTACGTAGAGGAGTACTGTCACGTGATCCTCTATTACTACGAGGACTGCAATCAAGTGATCCTCTGTTACGAAGAGGAGTGCTATCCCGTGAAGTTCTGTAGTGGAAGGGTGTGCTCTCTCTTGAGCTCTTTTCATGGCGAAAACAATACACACTATCTCCACTTACAAAATTTCGACACATCTGTCCATTTTTGCATAAAGCAGCACAGAGACTTCTTGGTGTCATACTTCTAGAAGTTTTGTCACTGAAAAAAAGCAAGTAAGAATCTGAAAGTAATGTATTGTTGGAAGTAGCATAATTTGTTATATATACGTATTTATATGTGGATGCAAAATTTGTTGATGTAAGTGTAACCTGGAGTTTCTAAAGGTCCATCTTGGTTTATGTCTTCAATAAATGCCAATATAGACTCAACTGTTTCTGTAGTCAGGATAATGGTTTTTAGTGTGATGCAAGAGGTTGTACATGAAAAATGAATGGAGAGGACACACATTTGTAGCTACTTAGATAGGAAGAGGCTGTGAAAAGTTGGTAGTCTCTCAAGATGGCTGGGGCTATATGGGCACAGATCAGCACAAAGATCAAAGAAATGAACAAATGAGTTTGATTCCCATTCAGATTTGAAATTTTATAGAGCATGATTTCAGAGCATCAAGAAAATGTTGGAAGAGTCTAGTAATGTAACCAAAGAGCAAAGACATGGCAAAACTAGGAGGGCGTACCATAATTTTAGCAGAAAAGTTTTGAAAAGCTTACTATAAAAGTTAACAAGAACAGGGAATAGAGTCGAGCTCATTGCAACACCAGAGAGAAATAGAAAGAGAAAGAAAAAGAAAGAAATAGAGAGAGAGAGAAAGAGAAAGACGAGATGAAAAGATGGATGAGAAGAGACAGGCAAGGGCAAGGAGGAGGTGTTGCTGTGTGCTTCTCTAACAGTGTTCATGCCCAGCACATTGAAGTTGCCACCCCTACTCATCTTGAAATGATGTTCTTCAAGCTCTGCATAAACACTAGTACCTCTGTACTAGCATGTGCAATGTACAAACCTCAGTGGCAACATGCAGACCCCCATCAACTTGCTAATGGAAAATATCATAATTGTTGGTGACCTCAACCAACACCTTATACAGAGGGATTTTGATGACCTTCTTGCAGTATTTAACATGAGAAACTCTGTCGATTTCCCTACTCACATCTCTGGCTCCTCCCTTGACCAAGTAGCGAGTGATCTGGCAGAAGGTATAGACACTTGTCAACCCCTCGGCTATGTTGGATCATCTGACCACAAGGCTGTTTTTATGACACTTAAGATCCCAACAGAACGAGGTGAGGAGTCCACACGCACAACCTGGCTATGGGAAAGAGGTAATTGGCCAGCCCTTTGCTCTGAGCTCGCCACCACCGATTGGAATGCTCTTCTCCAAGAGAAGGTTGACAACCAAGTGAAAGCCTTCACTGGACACATCATTAATCTACAACAAGAACACATTCCTCACCGGCAATGTGACGAAGCCTACAGATCAGCCTTAGTTTGTCTTTCGTTGTAGAGGGGCTGCTACTGCTAAGTACAAAGCATGGCGAAGGTATAAGAGACATCCTACCACCTATAACAGGAACTTGCACAGGCAAGCCTGTAGGCGCATGGGCAACATTCAAAAGTGGGCCATTGCTAAATGGGAGGTGGACACAAAAAGAAAGCTAGCATCAGGTAGGGTAGGCTCCAAAACCTGGTGGTCCCTGGTCAAGGACAGACAAGGTTATCTGCCTGATGAACTCATTCCACCTCTAAATCAACAGGATGGGACCACTTCTACTAGTAGTCAAGAGAAGGCGGACTTCTTTGCCAAACACTTTGCTACCAAACTGCAAGTTCCAGCAAGGGACCCTCCTTGGCTAGCTGCAAGAACTGTGTCAAGACTGTCAGTGGTGACAATGAGGCAGGAGGAGGTGCATTTCCTTCTTAAATTGCTTGACCAAGAAAAGGCTGTGGGCCCAGACAAGTTGAGCCCAAGATTGCCGAGAAGATGTGCAGACCAGCTAGCAGCATCTCTAACTCGCATCTTTCAGCACTGCCTAGTACAGTGTAAATGGCCCTCTCTGTGGAAAGAGGCAAATGTATTCCCTGTTCACAAAAAGTAGAGCAGAGCAGAAATCAGGAACTACAGACCAGTGTCACTCCTGTCAATTACTGGTAAGATCCTAGAGACAATAATCTCAAGACAAATGACAAGAGTTTTTTTTGACTACCACTCACTACTTTGTGATCGTCAATATGGCTTCAGGAAAGGTTACTCTTCTGCTGATCTGTTGTTAAACCTCTCCACTAAGTGGCACCAGTCACTGGATGAATCCAAATTCAGCTGTGTGGTAGCACTGGACATTGCTGGTGCTTTCAACTGGGTGTGGCACCAGGGCCTCTTAGCAAAACTTCAAGCACTGGGAATTGCAGGCTCTATGCTATGTCTCCTCAGTGATTACCTTCATGGTAGATTTCTAAGGGTAGTTCTCAATGGAATGGAATCAGCAAGACATCCAATTGGGGCTAGTGTTCCACAAGGAAGTGTGTTGGGACCATTGTTATGGAAAGTCTACTTCAATGACCTTCACCTCATCCCAGAATCCCATGCATATGCAGACAACTGTACACTAACATACACTTATCCAAGAGAAGAAATGCCAGCTCCTCTATGCTACATCAATCACCAGCTAAGAGCTATATCAGCTTGGGGAAATAGATGGCAAGTAACATTTGCACCTGAGAAGACAAATGATGGTCTCTAGGCACCATGATGGTAATGCTAATGCAGTAGTATGCATAACTTGGAGTGTTGGTACCTGGGGAAGAAGTTGATATCCTTAACTCCAAACTGACCATGAAGAACCACATTGTAAATCTTGCAAACCAAGCAGCTAGGAAGCTTACAGCACTTCGCCATATCTTGCATCTGCTTGACAGTAGGGGTTGCAAGATTCTGTACGGGGCACAAGTACACTCACACCTTGAGTATGCTCCACTTTCTTCATTTGCCTGTCCCCCCTCATCTGCAACTGCTTGACAGAGTAGAGAACAGAGCAAGATGTCTCATCTCTCGCCTGGACCCATCCTGGATAGATCTTTCATTTCAGCAGAGCCTTCAACACAGGAGGGATGTGGGTGGCCTTACTGTTATGTACAAGGCCAATATTGTCAAAGTACCACATTTGGATCCACTTTGAGGACAATGAGAAGCAAGCTTCTATACCACAAGATGGGCAGAAAGCAGCAACTTCACTCTGGCTGTACCTTTCTCCAGAACATCACTTCAATCACTTCATCTGAGATCATTTATTATCAGAATGGCTTGAATCTAGAACACATTCATACAGCATTATGATGTCAATGAGATAAAGTCAGTTGATCAAATGAAAATACTGGCCCACAGATGGCTCTTAACTTCATCCTGTTCCCTACTTGTATGTGTCATAATAAAAATACTTGTATGTTTCGTAACAATAAAAATGCTTTCAAATGAGCTGATGTAGGTAACAGCTCTTAGCTTGCCAATAGTTAGGAATCCTTAACCTGTATATAGCTTGTCAATAAAGCTAGGGATCCTTAACCTAACCTTGTCAAACCCTGTGTAAAAAAAGAGGGGGGGGGGGCAAATAAAAATCAAGAAATACATTAGAAGATATAGGTAGACAAAGTAGTCTTTCAATGATCTTCATTTTGAGAAATATAGAACTCAATGTAGAAACGTAGCATCTTACATGTATGATGTGACTGTACATATTCAACTGTATCTTAAGAGTAACAGAAGCAAGTAAAAGAACCAAGAAGAGAACGTAAAGTTTTGGCTAGCCAAGAGACAAGAGGTTGAAAAAAGATCATTGAAAGAAAATAACTGGGCATATAGGATTACCACAAAGAAAAATGAATACAGTGGACCCCCGGTTAACGAACTTTTTTCATTCCAGTAGTATGTTCAGGTGCCAGTACTGACCGAATTTTTTCCCATAAGGAATATTGTGAAGTAGATTAGTCAATTTCAGACCCCCAAACATACACGTACAAACGCACTTACATAAATACACTTACATAATTGGTCGCATTTGGAGGTGATCGTTATGCGGGGGTCCACTGTACATTACTAAGTATGGTAGACCATTATTTAGCAAGAGTTAATTTGGCACAATTTGGGTATAGCACAACTAACTGAAGAATTGCGGCACAATTTTGTGTAACACATCGTAAAATTAATTTAAGACTGTTCAGTTTGTGGGAATGAAAAAAAAAATTCCCTTTTCCTCAAGCGACTGCTTTGTTGTGGATCAGTGGGGGAGACCTGCCATCCCCTGCCACCCCCCCAACACCACCCAACCATCCCAGCATTCATACTTCATGTGTGTCTTGTCTTTCTTCTCTGCTAAAAGCTAGAAGTGTTTGTAAATTGTGTTTTGATCTTTTAATTACTGTATCTTGTATCTGCCAAGGAATCATGACACCCATACCAGTGTTGCTGAAAGTGGCAAGAAAAAGTATAAGCAGTTAAGTTGTAGAATTAACAAAGAAAAAGATAATGAAGTGTTACTTTATACACAAAAAAGAGGTAAATATAAGTTTGTATGATTGACTGACAGACTTGATTGACTTTTACTGAATGACTTGATTGACTTACTGACTGACCTACTGAATGACAAAGTCAGACACTCCAGTACAACCATCAACTTCAGTACCAGAACCTCTACCATCCACCTCAACCCAGTAGGGCCACAGCATAACTATAAACTCTTCAAAATCATCCACAAACACCAGAACCCACAATTTAAGGTAAATACTATTATTTCTGTTACATTTGTAGTCTTAAGCAGTAAAAACAAATAATAACATCACAACAATGAACTACAATTACATATTCACTTTTAATTTTTGTAAGAGCTAGAGCTAGAGCTAGAGAGAGAGCTAGAGAGAGAGAGCTAGAGAGAGAGAGAGAGAGAGCTAGAGAGAGCTAGAGAGAGAGCTAAAAGAGAGCTAGAGAGCCTAGAGAGGAGAGAAGAGCTAGAGAGAGAGAGCTAGAGAAGAGAGAGCTAGAGAGAGCTAGAGGAGAGCTAGAGAGAGCTAGAGAGAGCTAGAGAGAGAGAGAGAAGAGAGAGAGAGCTAGATAGAGAGCTAGAAGCAGAGCTAGAGAGAGAGAGCGAAGAGCTAGCAGAGAGAGCTAGAGAGAGAGAGTGAAGAGACTAGAGAGAGCTAGAGAGAAGAGCTAAGAGAAATAGCTGTCATTTCAGCAGAGCCTCAACATAGAGGGATTTGGGGGCCCTAGTTATGTACAAGAAAATTGCAAGAGGACACACTTGAGAATCCACTTGAGGACAGACTGAAACAAGCTTTATGACAAGAGGGCAGAAAGAGAATTACTTGGCTGTACCTTAGAACATCACTAGAGATCTACATAACCCAGATGAGAGTATGAGAAACAAGAAGCATAAGAGTAACAGAGATAAGAGTCAGTTGATAAATGAAAAGCTGGCCACAGAGGCCAACATCCTGTCCAGATGTATGAAACTAAAAGAGTTTAAAGAGCTGATGTAGAGAACAGCTAAGAGATGCCAATAAAGTAGGATCCTTAATGTAAATAGCTGTCAAATAAAGCTAAGGATCCTACTTGAAACCTGTGAAAAAAAAAGAGAGAGCTAGAGAGAGAGAGCGTAAGAGAGAGAAGCTAGAGAGAGAGAGCGAGGATAAGAGAGAGAGAGAGCTAGAGAGAGAGTAGAAGAGAGAGAGCTAGAGAGAAGAGAGAGAGCGAGAGAGCGTAGACTGAGCAGAGAGCTAGAGAGAGAGCTAGAGAGAGTAGAGAGAGCTAGAAGAGAGAGCGAGCGAGAGAGCGAGCGAGCGAGCGAGAGAGCGAGCTAGAGAGAGCGAGCTAGAAGAGAGGAGCTAGAAGAAGAGCTAGAGAGAGCTAAGAGCGAGAGAGAGAGCTAGAGAGAGAGAGAGAGAGCAGAGAGCTAGAGAGAGAGAGCAAGAGAGCTAGAGAGAGCGAGAGAGCTAGAGAGAGCGAGAGAGCTAGAGAGAGAGCGAGTAGAGAGCTAGAGGAGAAGCTGAGAGAGAGCGAGAGCGCAGAGAGAGAGAGAGAGAGAGAGAGCCTAGAAGAGCTAAAAGAGACTAGAGAGAGAGCTAGAGAGAGAGCTAGAGAGAGAGAAAGCTAGAGAGAGAGAGAGCTAGAGAGAGAGCTAGAGAGAGCGAGAGAAGAGAGCAGAGCTAGAGAGAGCGAGCGAGCTAGAAGAGCGAGCGAGCTAGAGAGAGGAGAGCTAGAGAGAGAGAGCTAGAGAGAAGCTAGAGAGCGAGAGAGCTAGAGAGAGAGAGCGTAGAGAGAGAGAGCTAGAGAGAGAGAGAGCTAGAGAGAGAGCTAGAGAGAGAGAGCTAGAGAGAGAGAGCTAGAGAGAGAGAGCTAGAGAGAGAGCTAGAGAGAGAGAGCTAGAGAGAGAGAGCTAGAGAGAGAGAGCTAGAGAGAGAGCTAGAGAGAGAGAGAGAGCTAGAGAGAGAGAGCTAGAGAGAGAGAGCTAGAGAGAGAGAGCTAGAGAGAGAGAGCTAGAGAGAGAGAGCTAGAGAGAGAGAGAGCTAGAGAGAGAAGCTAGAGAGAGGAGCTAGAGAGCGCTAGAGAGGAGAGCGAGAGAGGCTAGAGAGAGAGAGAGAGAGAGAGAGAGAGAGCGCTAGAGAGCAAAGAGAGCTAGAGAGAGAGGCTAGAGAGAGAGAGCTAGAGAGAGAGAGCTAGAGGAGAGAGAGAGACTAGAGAGAGAGAGCTAGAGAGAGAGAGACGTAAAAGAGAGAAGAGAGAGAGAGAGAGCTAGAAGTAGAGAGCTAGAGAGAGAGAGCTAGAGAGAGCGAGCTAGAGAGAGCTAGAGAGAGCTCGAGAGAGAGCGAGAGCGCTAGAGAGAGAGAGAGAGAGAGCGCTAGAGAGAGCTAGAGAGAGAGAGCTAGAGAGAGAGAGCTAGAGAAGAGAGAGCTAGAGAGAGAGAGCTAGAGAGAGGGGCTAGAGAGAGCTAGAGAGGGGAGAGCTAGAGAGAGAGAGCTAGAGCGAGAGAGCTAGAGAGAGGAGAGCTAGAAGAGAAGAGCTAGAGAGAGAGAGCTAGAGAGAGAGAGCTAAGAGAGAGAGAGCTAGAGAGAGAGAGCTAGAGAGAGAGCTAGAGAGAGAAGCTAGAGAGAGGAGAGAGCTAGAGAGGAGAGAGCTAGAGAGAGAGAGCTAGAGAGAGAGAGCTAGAGGAGAGAGCTAGAGAGAGAGAGAGCTAGAGAGAGAGGAGCTAGAAGAGCTAGAGAGGCTAAGAGAGAGAAGCTAGAGAGAGAAGAGCTAGAGAGAGGGATGTGGGTGGCCTTACTGTTATGTACAAGGCCAATATTGTCAAAATACCACACTTGGATCCACTTCGAGGACAGCGTGAAACAAGCTTTATGCCACAAGACGGGCAGAAAAGCAGCAACTTCACTCTGGCTGTACCCTCTCCAGAACATCACACCATCTGAGATCATACATACCCAGGATGACTCGAGTATGGAACACATTCGTACAGCATAATGATGGCAACGAGATAACGTCAGTTGATCAAATGAAAATGCTGGCCCACAGATGGCTCCAACTTCATCCTGTTCCCTACTTGTATGTCTCATAACATAAATGCTTTCAAATGAGCTGATGTAGGTAACAGCTCTTAGCTTGCCAATAAAGTTAGGAATCCTTAACCTGTAAATAGCTGTCAATAAAGCTAGGGATCCTTAACCTTGTCAAACCCTGTGTAAAAAAAAAAAAAAAAAAAAAAAAAGAGAGAGAGCTAGAGAGAGAGAGAGCTAGAGAGAGAGCTAGAGAGAGCTAGAGAGAGAGAGCTAGAGAGAGCTAGAGAGAGAGAGCTAGAGAGAGAGCTAGAGAGAGAGAGCTAGAGAGAGAGAGCTAGAGAGAGAGAGCTAGAGAGAGAGCTAGAGAGAGAGAGCTAGAGAGAGAGAGCTAGAGAGAGAGCTAGAGAAAGAGCTAGAGAGAGAGAGCTAGAGAGAGAGAGCTAGAGAGAGAGAGCTAGAGAGAGAGAGCTAGAGAGAGAGAGCTAGAGAGAGAGAGCTAGAGAGAGAGAGCTAGAGAGAGAAAAGCTAGAGAGAGAGAGCTAGAGAGAGAGAGCTAGAGAGAGAGAGCTAGAGAGAGAGAGCTAGAGAGAGAGAGCTAGAGAGAGAGAGCTAGAGAGAGAGAGCTAGAGAGAGCTAGAGAGAGAGCTAGAGAGAGAGCTAGAGAGAGAGCTAGAGAGAGAGCTAGAGAGAGAGCTAGAGAGAGAGCTAGAGAGAGAGAGCTAGAGAGAGAGAGCTAGAGAGAGAGAGCTAGAGAGAGAGCTAGAGAGAGAGCTAGAGAGAGAGCTAGAGAGAGAGCTAGAGAGAGCTAGAGAGAGAGCTAGAGAGAGAGCTAGAGAGAGAGAGAGAGAAAAAAAAAAAAAAAAAAAAAATTTGGGGCTCTCAGCAATGTAACCCTACTTTTCCCATAAGTTCTTCAGTTCATCTAACACAGTTTTACCTAGCATGGCATTTTCAGGAACGTAACTACCATGTTAAATGACTGTCTACTGTAATCTAATCTTTATTTCATACTCAAATGTATTTCGATTTTACCTAGATATTTGTTTGCTGTAGAGTAGCTGACTTTAAAATGCAATACTTAATATTGCAAATTTTGTTTATATAAACATTTTTAGCATTAACAAAATTGTTCCTAAAGAGCTATACAAATATTATATTGTCACTTTTTTAATCATAATTATCAGTATATATGCATATAACATACCTGCGAGAATTCTCCGTTTCTTTAAGTGGACTACTACTTATCAGATTTCTGCTATCAAGAGAAAGGTTGTGATGCAATACTGAAGGCACAGTGCTGTTCAGATGATCAAGTAGATGGCGTCGCACACCTGACAGCATCTGATATCAAAAGGATTAATACATTATAATGAAGTAAGTACAAGTTATGATTTTAGTCACTATGATACGGCCGGTGTGTTGAAAGAAGAGATTTCCTAATCTAGACACTTCAGTTCCCAAATATGCAGATACAACAGAATAACTGCTACAAGCTCTATGATACAAGGTGGGAACCCCGGTTTTCGTCCTTAATCCGTTCCAGAAGATTGGTTGAAATACAAAATGGATGAAAACCAAAGTAATATTTCCCATAAGAAATAATGTAAATCCAATTAATCCGTTCCAGACACCCAAAAATATTAACAAAAAATACATGTGGCATACAAAAAGTACGTTACATTTATTCAGCATATGTACTCGAGTCCTGGAAATGGGAAGTATGATGCCTGCACTTTGAAGGAGGGGTTTGGGATATTGGCAGTTTGGAGGGATATATTGTGCAGGAGGAAAGAGGAGTGACTGGTGGAATGATGAAGTAAAGGGTGTGATAAAAGAGAAAAAGGTAGCTTATGAGAGGTTTTTACAAAGCAGAAGTGTTATAAGAAGAGCAGAGTATATGGAGAGTAAAAGAAAGGTGAAGAGAGTGGTGAGAGAGTGCGAAAGGAGAGCAGATGATAGAGTGGGAGAGGCAATGTCAAGAAAAATTAATGAAAATAAGAAAAAATTTTGGAGTTAAACAAGTTAAGAAAGCTTAGGGAAAGTATGGATTTGTCAGTTAAAAACAGAGTAGGGGAATTAGTAGATGGGGAAAGGGAGGTATTAGGTAGATGGCAAGAATATTTTGAGGAACTTTTAAATGTTGAGGAAGAAAGGGAGGCAGTAATTTCATGCACTGGCCAGGGAGGTATACCATCTTTTAGGAGTGAAGAAGAGCAGAATGTAAGTGTGGTGGAGGTACGCGAGGCATTACGTAGAATGAAAGGGGGTAAAGCAGCTGGAACTGATGGGATCATGACAGAAATGTTAAAAGCAGGGGGGGATATAGTGTTGGAGTGGTTGGTACTTTTGTTTAATAAATGTATGAAAGAGGGGAAGGTACCTAGGGATTGGCAGAGAGCATGTATAGTCCCTTTATATAAAGGGAAAGGGGACAAAAGAGATTGTAAAAATTATAGAGGAATAAGTTTACTGAGGATACCAGGAAAAGTATACGGTAGGGTTATAATTGAAAGAATTAGAGGTAAGACAGAATGTAGGATTGCGGATGAGCAGGGAGGCTTCAGAGTGGGTAAGGGATGTGTAGATCAAGTGTTTACATTGAAGCATATATGTGAACAGTATTTATATAAAGGTAGGGAAGTTTTTATTGCATTTATGGATTTAGAAAAGGCATATGATAGAGTGGATAGAGGAGCAATGTGGCAGATGTTGCAAGTATATGGAATAGGTGGTAAGTTACTAAATGCTGTTAAGAGTTTTTTATGAGGATAGTGAGGCTCAGGTTAGGGTGTGTAGAAGAGAGGGAAAATACTTCCCGGTAAAAGTAGGTCTTAGACAGGGATGTGTAATATCACCATGGTTGTTTAATATATTTATAGATGGGGTTGTAAAAGAAGTAAATGCTAGGGTGTTCGGGAGAGGGGTGGGGTTAAATTATGGGGAATCAAATTCAAAATGGGAATTGACACAGTTACTTTTTGCTGATGATACTGTGCTTATGGGAGATTCTAAAGAAAAATTGTAAAGGTTGGTGGATGAGTTTGAGAATGTGTGTAAAGGTAGAAAGTTGAAAGTGAACATAGAAAAGAGTAAGGTGATGAGGGTACCAAATGATTTAAAGAAAAATTGGATATCAAATTGGGGAGGAGAAGTATGGAAGAAGTGAATGTTTTCAAATACTTGGGAGTTGACGTGTCGGCGGATGGATTTATGAAGGATGAGGTTAATCATAGAATTGACGAGGGAAAAAAGGTGAGTGGTGCGTTGAGGTATACGTGGAGTCAAAAAATGTTATCTATGGAGGCAAAGAAGGGAATGTATGAAAGTATAGTAGTACCAACACTTATATGGATGTAAAGCTTGGGTGGTAAATGCAGCAGCGAGGAGACGGTTGGAGGCAGTGGAGATGTCCTGTCTAAGGACAATGTGTGGTGTAAATATTATGCAGAAAATTCGGAGTGTGGAAATTAGGAGAAGGTGTGAAGTTAATAAAAGCATTAGTCAGAGGGCAGAAGAGGGGTTGTTGAGGTGGTTTGGTCATTTAGAGAGAATGGATCAAAGTAGAATGACATGGAAAGCATATAAATCTATAGGGGAAGGAAGGAGGGGTAGGGGTTGTCCTCGAAAGGGTTGGAAAGAGGGGGTAAAGGAGGTTTTGTGGGCGAGGGGCTTGGACTTCCAGCAAGCGTGCATGAGCGTGTTAGATAGGAGTGAATGGAGACGAATGATACTTGGGACCTGATGATCTGTTGGAGTGTGAGCAGGGTAATATTTAGTGAAGGGATTCAGGGGAAACCGGTTATTTTCATATAGTCGGACTCGAGTCCTGGAAATGGGAGGTACAATGCCTGCACTTTAAAGGAGGGGTTTGGGATATTGGCAGTTTGGAGGGATATGTTGTGTATCTTTATATGTATATGCTTCTAAACTGTTGTATTCTGATCACCTCTGCGAAAACACTGATTATGTGTGAGAGGTGAAAGTGTTGAATGATGAAAGTATTTTCTTTTTGGGGATTTTTTCTTTCTTTTTGGGTCACCCTGCCTCGGTGGGAGACAGCCGACTTGTTAAAAAAAAACCACTCGCATATAGGCTGCCTCCCAACCAGCGAACTGGGTGCTAAGGGTTTAATGATCTTACGGGGCCCCATCGTTAAACCGTATCCCTGGTTCAAACCAGTCCATAAGGCTGGTTGCAATTGCCGAGGGATGTGTAGCACTTATGATCAGCTCTTGCCAGACTCGTACAGCTGCTGGTTGCTCACGGTTCTCTGGCTGTTATTCCACCTCTTGATTACTGCGATACACTTTTTTTCCAAACTCGTATATAGTGTACGTTAGTGTAAATACCTATAATCATACTTGAAGGAAAATACAATTTAAAGACTACTGCTTTTTTTTTTTGCTCCAAGGCCCATTACACCCAGGTTAACAGGCCTTTATTACCTGGGTGCATAATAATACATTTTATAGAGAATAACTATAGATTTACATACAGAAAACAATGAGAAATAAACAAAAATGACTAATTTTAATGGATAAATGAACATTTAAATCACTGTTACATACCTTTATTGAAGACTTGTTGGCCACTCACATCCAACCCCATGGACTTCCCCAAAGCCACAATAGATTCCACAACAGGCATAGGGTTGTCAAGTTTACACTAACTTCTATTAAGTTAGTAATAGAACTAGGCATTAAAAAAACAATAACAAGTAAAATACATACACAGTACATTCATTACTTACCTTAAAATATTTGTAGTCTTAATGTAGGGCGAGAGGCGAGTAGTACGTAGTGTACGTAGCCGGTAGATGTAGGTATGTAGTCCGCCTGGCTACATGCCTGCAGCTACCTATGTAGCTACACGATATTTGCTGCAGCCCAGAGCCATATTATTACCATCAACATACCATGTTCACTGAGCTTAATCGTTTCTAACAACTACCTTTAGATGCCATCATAAACAAAGTGAGAAGTAATGAATAATTCATGCCGAGAATTGTAAACAAAAGCATTATGTATTAACCCTTTCAGGGTTGGCAGGGCCTCTCCTAAACCTTGTTCTCACGGTCAGAAATTTAAAAAAACATCTTATGAAATTATAGAAAATCTTTTCCTGATCATAATGACACCAAAAGTATAAAATTTGATGGAAAACTTACGGAGTTATGCTCTGGCGAAGTTAGTGATCTCGACAATGTTTATGCATTGGCGATTTCGCCCACTGAGCCCTATTTTTGGCCAATTCCAATGTACCAGTCGACAAAAATCATACCTATTTCACTAGAACTCCATTTTTTCTATCGATTGACTACAAGAAACCACCCATTTACTGATTTTAACTATCCAATAATATGGTCAGAAATAGGCAATTTTGCCAATTTCACACAAATTTCAAAAGATGCTAATTTCAAAATAGGGTCCAGAATAAACAAGAGACATTTCTGGCACTAAAATAACATTTCCTCTGTTCATTACTCATGTCCCCAGACCTCTGTTACATTTCTTTTGCTTTCCACTTTGAATTTTTATTCTCACAAAAAATAGAAGATTTATATTATGCAGACTACTGCATTTGTGTAGAAATGGCATCGAAATGGTATAAATAACATCAAGGCACTTGTGAAAGAATATTGCACTCACCAGTTGACGTGTATTGGATGCATGGCATGATTTGTTTACCTTTGAACTTTGGCAAAAATCGAACATTTCTGCTAATTTGAGCTCAATTTCAAGGTACTTTTCATTGTGAAACCAATCAAAATCACCTCAATTTCCATAATATGTCTTCCATTCTATAAAATGAGACCAGGAAAACTAGAATACAACCATAATACCATACAAAAATACAGTGCAAAGTCGCTGTTTTAAACCAAAAACACGGTCGGAGTTTTTTTTTCTCATTATGCACCGTGTGCTGCAGGATTTTTTTTTACACCTTGCACACTGACCACATAGACCCATTCTTTCATATGTAGGCCTACGAGCTTTCTCTCGCTAGATTTGAAGGTGTTAGAATTTGTGCGCACTACTACGGCACCAAACCTGGCGAGCAAGCCGTACTAGTACGGCACCAACCTTAAAAGGGTTAAGGGGGGTGACTGGGCCAATGCAGATTCATACACATTTTCTCTGGTGCTGGACCAGAGAAAATGTTTTCCCTCTGCCTGGCTACCACCCCTACATAGCATATAAACACTGCATGTTTATATGCTATGTAATGTGGTTCTTATATAATTTTGAAGAAAATATAGACAGATTAATGAAAATGTCTATATTAACATAAAGTAAGACATTTAATGTGCCCAAGAGTGATTATTATACATTAAGACTAGAAGGACTCTCTTAGTAAACAAGTAACAAAGGCAGACTTAGTCATGAACGTGTAAGTAGGCAAGTCTGTAAGTTTATTCAGGTATACACAAATACAGTTACATAGATTATCATACATAGCAGTGTATGTGTAGAGAACCTAGGATAACCCAAAAAAGTCAGAATGACTTATTTCCAAGAGAGGCCAAGTCTGGTATGGACGATTTCCGAGCGGATGTACGAAACCCGGGGTAAAATTTCGCCCAAAAGTGGTCGAAATCTGAATTTTAAACTATCCACACCAGACGAAATGCGGGGTTCCACTGTATTTAAAATTCATTTATTCATATGTTAAACCCAATTAAAAAAAATAGCACAGTGCTGAAATACTAAGCTATTAGCCTCTTAAGTTACTTCAAAACTCAACAACATACTCACTTTGGTCATGCATATCTTATTTGTTTACATTTTTTCTAAAGGTATGTTGGTATGGAAATAACCAAACATGAATGGAATAAGAGGCCTTACTAGTGAAAAATATAAGGTTGCAAATAAATTAAATTTTAATTTTTTTCTTGGCAATATATTAACAATGAAATTAATGAATATTAAAATATGAAGTGTTTAGATGTAATTCCTATGCTCTATTTAATTTTATGAATGTATTGCTCTATAATACTAGGTAACGAGTCCTTTAATACAATATTTTTTCCAGATAATAAATTTTATTAAAAATTTTGGGACCATTTTCTGTTCAAAACCTTTGCTCTTTCAATATTGCTCAAACCTTATTAATATTTAAATTTATAAGCAATTAGAAGAAAGAAAAATATTGACTGGAAAATCCAGCAAGTTCATTTTGAATGAAATGAACATAAGAACAAAAACAGTCCAGTCACGACAAGAGCAATGAGTGTGGCAAGCTGAACTGTGAATACAAGGCCATTTTTGGTAACCAGGCACTAGCTCTAGTCACTGATCACAAAATTAGCAACTTTCAATCTGTCAATGAAGACCTTGCTCCTTGAAGTACAATCAGAAGCATGCTCTAGGAAATTGGACAGGAAAATTACTGGAGCCAAGCAAGTAGGAATCCCATTCACATAAAGGTCATAAAAACATTTATAAACACATTTTAGCACTAACTGGGAGAAAAAAAAAGTCAAAATCTTAAAAAAAAAAAAAAAAAAAAAAAAAAAAAAAATTGGAGCTGAAAGGACAAGTTTATTTCAAGATGCTTGGAATAATTTTGCATGGTATAACTTACTCTAAATACGACTTACCTTGCCTGCTGACTCACATTGGCTTGCATCATCACTGTTACTGTTCTGAAGATTAGTAACCTTGTTTTCCTCAACCTCACAGTCACTGGAATTATTGGGCGAGCTAGACTGTTCCGTTGCCTCTCGCAAAATCCTAAATTCAAATTCATTTATTTCTTTGCAAGCAGTACACTGAGATTATATTTTTACAATAATGGGTTGCAGTGCAAAGAGAGCCTATTATGAATATGCATTATAGACTGACAATTTAATGGCTTACTGACTACTTAACACTAAAGAAATTTATCATAGTTGTACAGTAGTTCTATTAATAAGTGAATCTAATTTATACAAACCAAAGGATATATTCATATATTCAAAAATGCTTTTTATGAAACATGATTCAAGAGTAGTTTCCAGTATGAGAATGCTACAATTTGGTGAAGGGGAATACTGCTTTTGGTAGTTATGTATACGTACTTCTAGGTGGTAATTTGTCAAAATATGAACTTGTACATGGGGTTGTAAAAGAAGTAAATGCTAGGGTGTTCGGGAGAGGGGTGGGATTAAATTATGGGGAATTAAAACAAAACTGGAAATGACAGTTACTTTTTGCTGATGATACTGTGCTTATGGGAGAATCTAAAGAAAAATTGCTAAGGTTAGTGGACGAATTTGGGAGTGTGTGTGTAAAGGTAGAAAGTTGAAAGTGAACATAGAAAAGAGTAAGGTGATGAGGGTATCAAATGATTTAGGTAAAGAAAAATTGGATATCAAATTGGGGAGGAGGAGTATGGATATTTGGGAGTTCACGTGTCAGCGGATGGATTTATGAAGGATGACGTTAATCACAGAATTGATGAAGGAAAAAAGGCGAGTGGTGCATTGAGGTATATGTGGAGGCAAAAAATGTTATCTATGGAGGCAAAGAAGGGAATGTATGAAAGTATAGTAGTACCAAAACTCTTATGTGTGTGTGAAGCTTGGGTTATAAATTCTGCAGCGAGGAGGCAGTGGAGATGTCCTGTCTAAGGGCAATGTGTGGTGTAAATATTATGCAGAAAATTCGGAGTGTGGAGTTAATAAAAGTATTAGTCAGAGGGCTGAAGAGGGTTTGTTGAGGTGGTTTGGTCATTTAGAGAGAATGGATCAAAGAAGAATGACATGGAGAGAGTATAAATCTGTAGAGGAAGGAAGGCAGGGTAGGGGTCGTCCTTAAAAAGGATGGAGGGAGGAGGTAAAGGTGGTGTTGTGGGCAAGGAGTTTGGACTTCCAGCAAGCGTGCGTGAGCGTGTTAGATAGAAGTGAATGGTATTTGGGACCCGACGAGCTGTTGGAGTGTGAGCAGGGTAATATTTAGTGAAGGGATTCAGGGAAACCGGTTATTTTATATAACCGGACTTGAGTCCTGGAAATGCGAAGTACAATGCCTGCATTCTAAAGGAGGGGTTTGGGATATTGGCAGTTTGGAGGGATATACTGTGTATTTTTATACATATGTACTTCTAAACTGTTGTATTCTGGGCACTTCTGCAGAAACAGTGATTATATGCGAGTGAGGTGAATGTGTTGAATGATGATGAAAGTATTTTCGTTTTGGGGATTTTCTTTCTTTTTGGGTCACCCTGCCTCGCTGGGAGACGGCAGACTTGTTGAGAAAAAAAAAATACTTGGTTGTCTAGTCTTGAAGTTTTATGATTTAGGCAATTGGTAGATTTATTGGTAATGTTAAATATACATACTGTGTATTAAGTATTTAGTCTAGGGTGATTAAGAGGCTTTTGAAAAGAGTCTTAATTGATTTTCAGACCAGGTTACTTTAGTATTTTCTTGCAATGAATTCCAAATTTGGGGGCCCTTTATGTGCATAGTTTTTTTTACAGTGTGATATGGACACGGGGTACATCAAAAAGAGATCTGTGTCTTGTGTTATGGTCGTGTGTCCTGTTAAGGTTGGTGAGGAAAACTCTGAGTGGAGGGTTTATGTTTGCGTGTATTGTTCTATGTAAGTAGTAGGCACATGAAGTATGGATGTTCTTAATGGTGGGCAGATTTAGACTTTTGAATATTGGTGGAGTATGATGTCAGGAGTGGGAATTTGTTATTCTGACTGCTGCTTTTTGCTGGGTTATTAGTGGTCTTAGGTGATTTAATGTTGATCACCATGCACAAATTCCATATGCGAGATAAGGGTGGACGAGTGAATGATACAGTACAAGGAGAGCTGATTGTGGAACATAGTATTGTATCTGATAGTATTCCTACAGTCAGAGATTTTCTTGGTTATTTGTTGTATATGTGTCTGGAATTTGAGGCTTCTGTCAAGGTGGATTCCTAGGAATTTTCCCTCCGCGAGTCTTGTGACGGGTGATCCGTTTAGTGTTATGTTAAGTGGAACATTTGCAGCTTTGTTTCCAAACTGAATGAAGTAGGTTTCGTCAGTATTCAGGATAAGTTTATTAGTCATCATCCAGGCAGATATTTTTTGCAATTCAGCATTGACAGTGTTGGCAAGTATGACTGGGTTTGGGTGAGAGAAGACATATGTAGTATCATCTGCAAATATGGGTTTGAGTAGTTGTGATGCATTCGGTAGGTCATTGATGTAGATGAGAGAGGAGTGGTCCAAGGACACCACCCTGTGGGACTCCTACTGTGATTGGTTGAGTGGAAGAGTTTGCACCATCTGTGTACACATACTGGCTTCTGTTACTAAGATATGACTTTAGGTAGTTGAGGGAGTGGCCTCTTATACCATAGTGTGCTAATTTAGTGTGCAGCAGTTCATGGCTGACTGTATCAAAAGCTTTACGTAAATCAATGAAAATTCCTAGCGGGACTTCTTTCTTTTCCAGAGTGGTATATATTAGTTCTAGCATGTGTATCATATCATTTGTGCTTTTATTATTCCTGAATCCAAACCGACAGGGGTTTAGCATGTTATGCGAGACGAGGTAGGAATAAATGAGTCTATGAATTAATTTTTCCAAGAATTTAGAGAGCAGTGGTAAGTTAGATATTGGTCTATAGTTATTCAAGTCAGCTTGGTCACCTTCTTTGTTTATCGGAGTGACCCTCGCTATTTTGAGGATTGTTGGGAAGGTGGACAATTCAATGGATTTGTTAACGAGTGTTGCAATAATTCACAATACTTGAGAAGCTTTTTTGTACATAAAAGTTGGCAAGTTCCTTATGTCTACTGCCTTCTTTTTAACCCTTTCAGGGTTGAGAGGCCCTCTCCTAAACTTGTTCTCAGGGTCGAAAATTTTTTGGAAAAAAATAATTTTTTTTTTTTTCTTATGAAATGATAGAGAATCTTTTCCCGATCATGACGACAACAAAAGTATGAAATTTGATGGAAAACTTACGGAATTATGCTCTTGCGAAATTAGCGGTCTCAATGATGTTTATGCATCGGCAATTTTGCTCACTTTGAGCCCTATTTTCAGCCAATTCCAATGTACCAGTCGACAAAAATCATAGCTATTTCGTTAGAACTCCATTTGCTCTATCAAAAAAAAAAAAAAAGTACAAGAAACCAGCTAATTACTGATTTCAACTATCCAATAAAGTGGTCAGAAATTGGCAATTTCGCCAATTTCATGCAAATTTCAAAATAGGGTCCAGAATAAACAAGACAGAAATTCCTGGCACTAAAATAACATTTTCTCTGTTCATTAGTCACATCTCCAGGCCACTCTTACATTTCTTTCGCTTTCCACTTTGAACTTTTATTCTCACAAAAACAGAAGATTTACTGTTAAGCAGACTACTGGATTAGTGTAAAAATGGTATAAATAATATCAGTGCACTTGTGAAAGATTATTAGACTCACCAGTTGATGTGTATTGGATGTGTGGCATTATTTGTTTACTTTTGAACATTGGCAAAAATTGAACATTTCTATTTTGAGCTCAATTTCAAGGTACTTTTCATTGTGAAACCAATCAAAATCATCTAAGTTTCTGTAATATGTCTTCCATTCTATAAATGAGACCAAGGAAACAAGAATAAAACCATAAATACCATACGAAAATACACTGCAAATTCACTGTTTTAAATGAAAAACACGGTCGGAGTTTTTTTTTCTCATTATGCACTGTCTGCTGCAGGATTTTTTTTATACTGTGCACACTGACCATGCAGACCCATTCTTTCATATGTAGGCCTACCAGCTTCCTCTCGCTAGATTTGAAGGTGCTAGAATTTACGCGTACCAGTACGGCACCAACCCTGGCGTGCAAGCCGTACTAGTACGACACCGACCCTGAAAGGGTTAAGAGTGTTGATGATGAGCGAGACTTGTTGGGTTGGTTGGAGCAAGGAATAGTATGTTCGGGTAGGTGCTCGCTAGATAGTCTGATGTATGGGTGTTTGAGTTAGGGATTTTGCTTGCTAGGTTCTTTCCTATGGTGGAGAAGAAAACATCGAGTCTGTTCACTGTTTCAGTTGGTGGGAGTAAGGGTTCTTCTGATTTTGTTAATTTGACTCTTTTGTTTTTGGATATCGTTTTAGTTCCAAAAATTTCAGATAAGAGTTCTCCAGGTCTTTTTTCACATCACCTTTGATGTTTTGTAATCTGTTTTCATAATACAGTTTTTTTTAGACCTTATCAGACTGGCAAGAGCTGACAAGTAATGTTTAGACTGGTCACTAGCTATTTGACCCATTCTGTACTGTTTTTCATATTGTTGCTTTGTGTTAATGGATTTAAGGATGCTGAGTGTTTGCCAGGGACTATTCAGTCTCTTTGCTGTGATCTGTTTAGTTTTTTAGGGCAATGTTTGTTAGAGATTTTTTTTTTTTTTTTTTTTTTTTTTTTTTTTAGAAAATTATTTATACATCCATTCCTATCTGTATATGTTTTGAGCTCATTTTGCCAGTCAATGTTATTCATAGCTGCTATAAAGTTGTTTACAGCTGTCTCCTTATGTAGTCTGAAGGTAACTTTAGCAATGTCTTGGGCAAATTTACCTAGATTGGTTATGAGAAAGATTGGGTAGTGGTCTGCAATTCTGCCTGATTATAAAGAGGATATGGTGTTAGCCCAGATGTGGTCTCAGAGATTCTTGTAGGTTTAGATATTGTTGGTAGCAACAAGGAGTTACTCAGTGTTTGTGAATTTGGTCACTTGTGGGTCCTGGTCATGTAGTA